CTTCCTTCCTTCCTTCCTTCCTTCCTTCCTTCCTTCCTTCCTTCCTTCCTTCCTTGCCACACACACATGCACACACCTGTCAGGAACCAAATTCTCTAATTTAACCCAAAGTTTGGTTTTATTTACAGAATCAGGCATCCCTAAAATCTACAGTGGTGCTTAAAAGTTTGTGAACCCTTTTGAATTTTCAATATTTTTGCATAAATATGACCTAAAACGTGATCATGTAGAGTCCTTGCACAAAGAAGCATTTATTAATAACAACCTGGAAACATGCTTGCATTTCTGCTTCTTCTGGCATATTAATATCTTGTAAGATTACTTCTGTTCATAAAAACTTGGGGTAGGGTGGGGGAGTGTCGCGGATACGTTTTCTGTATGCTGGGTATAGAGGTCCCTTAACTGCTTCTTAGTAGTGGAGCAGTCCACATCACACCGGCTGGTAGTACGACTCAGCTGGATCTTTCTTCGATTCGAAGGTGTAGATGCTCCAGCTGCTAAGGTTTTACTAATTAAATTAGAATATTAAAGACATTTTTTTGACATTTTTTCTGTAAAATTCCCATTGTCTGTTATACATGGCCTGAAATTTAAATCTTGAGTAGACTTATTGTTCCAACCAAACAATCCTGAATTTATAATTGCTTCTTGAAGAGCATCAGAGGAATAACGCTGAATCAAATAAAAACCTTTATCATTAATTAGCAAATTTAGAATTAAGGGTTTATGGTTGCTATCTGATCTCAAACTAAGTATTAAACAATTTGACCAAGAGAAGTAAATTAGTAGATATTAGAGAATAATCTAGTACACTTGCTCATCATTCACAAGTAAATTCATTTACCAGGATGATCTTGTGCCATTGTGCCATTTAAAATTATTAAAATGTACATATTACAAAAACTGATTAAACAAGAACCCACATAATTGATGCTCTGGTATTTAGGGAACTTGGTTATTAGAGCCAAGTCTGGCATTCAAATTACCCAAAATTGCAAAGTACTTATGAGGGAATTTTAGAAGCAGGACATATCTTTATCTCTACCTTTGTATCCAATTCCACCCAAATTTGTTTAATTTCAGATCTTGTTTTAGCTCCTAGAAGATAAACATTTATGGTAATTAACTTCAAAAGCTTTAGTTTTAATTTAAATTTAATAGCATATTGTTCATAGTGCCCTGCTAAAGATATCTCTGCCTTTAAAGCAGTTGAAACAAAGGTTAGGGTTTCTACATAAATGGGATTTAATAATCCTTTGTTGTCAAGAATAGCACAAATATTTCTGCTTCCAAAATTATTCATCTGTGAATTTTGAATAGACTTGGGATATTCACTTATAAAGGCTGCTGACTTGCCTGAATTACTACCTAACCCGTTGACTTCCAGGTATCTCGTGTCTTGTCAACTCAAAGCAGACTCAGTATTAGTAGATCTATTCAAAGTCTCCTTGGTTCTCTTGTTGAACAGTTCCATTTAGTGGCAGAGACATATATTACTGTCTGTCTTAAAACTTGGTTTGATTCATTTTTCTGGTAGTTTCACTAGCTACTCTTTCAGCTTCCAGAATCTCTGTATTTGGCTGTATTTTGTAAAAACAGGACACCACAATAAAGTTCTTACAAACAGAATCTTTACGATCAAATATACTATACACTGTTCTATTGTTTTAAACACAACAATTGCTTTTGCTTTAAAATAGTTTTTTAAAATACTTAAGCTTACTAAGCATATCTATAGCAGTTGATGGAGTTAGATGCTGAAACAGCTGCACAAAATCCAATTTCCGTTCGGACTGAGATACCATTATTTTAGCTTAAGGTTAGCCAACATACTGATTAATTTTGCACGCCTGAAGAAGCCTTTTCTGTTATAAGCTTCCATCACCAATGTCAGCTCATTCTGAGCTTTAGCTTTCCTGACGTTAGCTCTACAGTTCCAGACTACTAGACTGAGTTCTTTCCCAGGTCAGAATTAGAGTTACTTTGTTAGAGTTAGTCCTTGGGTTACAACGGCAGTTGGGACCGTAGTTGCCGTTGCTAAGCGATACAGTCATAAAGCACGATGTCACATGACTGCGTTGCCTAGTAACGGCAATTTCAGCAGTCCCGTGGCCACTGTTAGGCGAGGACCTCACATATTGTGACTTCTGGCTTCCTGCTGGCTTCCCCATTGACTTTGCTTGTGGGAAGCTAGCGGGGAACGTCAGAAATCGCAATCATGTGACCGTGGGGACACTGTGACAGTTCTGAGGACTGGTCGTAAGTCCCCCTCATTCAGCGTTGTCATGAATTTGAATGTCCCTGAACGAGTGGTTGTAACCCAAGGACCACCTGTACATTAACATCTGAGCTCCCAGCATCTTCAACTTTGTTCCTAGAACTTCAGAAATCATGATGATAAAGTTCTATCTGTCTTTGCAGTATCACTGCCGCCACATGCATTAGCAGGAAGGCATAATTGTCATTGGACTTGAGAATCTTTGGAAGTTGTTCTCTCACATTCCTGACAAGCAGCATGGCTTGTAATAATGAGTCAGCATCTACTATTACTACTACTCTCTTTATTTTCTTGTAGAGCACAACTCTGTCTCCTCTACTCATAAGGGACACACCATCTGGTTTCATGGTGTCCTTTTTTCTTTCTGTAAAATTCTTCTGCTGAGGTCTGAACACACCGTTCCTGAGTTCAGTGGTATAGAATGTCTCAAGCCATTGGGCTTGCTCCTTTCTTTGCTCCTCTTCCTTCTTTCACCCTTTGTTGTAGTGTATCCTCGACACGCTATCTCAACAGCCCAAGTGTATTCACTTGCTTCTTCAGTCCTTTGACTATTTCTTCCAAGATTGTTGCAAGCTTGTACTGGCTGGAAACATATGCAAGCTCTAAGGTTAGCCAAGTACACATGATTCATTTCAAAAGTAAATTTGGTAGGGACTCCATGTTAACCTCTCACCCTGAACTCCATTGGCAAGGAAGTTTATTTACTTACTTACTCATGTAGTTACTTTATTTCTATACTACCACACTGCACAATGACTCTGTCAGTGCAGCATAAAATCAAGAACAACAAAGCTATCAATTCATAAACAAATATAACAAAAAATAAATTACCAATACATTCACAACTTCAATACAGGTAGTCCTTGCTTAATGGCCGTTTGTTTAATGACAGTTCAAAGTTACGAAGGCCTTGGAAAGGGTGCTTTATGCCTGTGCAGCTTTAAAATCCATGGGGGATAAGACAGCCTCTGATATAGAGTCTTCTATCAGGGAACACAAGCAGGAGGGTCCTCTTGTAATCCAGCAACATCTAATGGAATTTCTGAGTTGTGTGGTATAAAAATTAGTTTAATAAATAAACCAGTAGCTGGTTGTGGTGACTCTGGGGATTAATTATATGGATTGTTTGTCCAGTTCTGATCATCTTCCACTGCATTTCTGCCCAGCTGTCCCCTCCAGTGCAGGTCCATGCCCAAGCACTTGTTGGCAGAGCTCTCTTTCCAGCACAACGCCACTTGGCTCATCCCAGCACCTTGGCTGTAAGGGTGGGCTTCTGCCTGGCTCTCCCTGACATGCTTTCTTTTTCCCCTCCTTCCAGTGGGGGAGCAGGTGGTGGTCCGCTCCTTCCCCATTGCCTCTCTGACCAAAGAAGAGAAGATTACAGTCCAGACTCCCTTAGATCAGTTCATCCAGGAGGGCTGTGCTCAGCTCCAACTGCGCTCCTGTACATTCCAGGTGAGTCTCTGAGCATGTCAGTAGGATGGAACATCTCTTGGGGATCCTTTCCCCACCCCTCCAAACCCAAGTCAGTTTTGAGAGAAGCCCTTCTGAGAGGCAAGTCAGCTGGGTTTGGACGCAGAACCTGAGTGTGGCTTGTTTTACCCTCTAGTTGCTTCGCATTGTCTTTGATGAAGAAGTGGCCTCTGAGAGTGCAGAGACCTTCCGGAAGCATCTCAGCAAGTTGCGCTATCCCCAGCACATCTCTGATACCTTTGCCTTCATGGTGGGACAGTCTAGCAAGCCTACCCTGCCTTCCAAAGCCAAGGATAAAAACCCGTCTCTCAGGTGGGAACAGATGGGGGAGGGGGAAGATCTCCATATAGGGCTTCACTTGAAGGCAGTTGGGGCAGTAGCCCCTGATTTTTCACTCACCTTCTGGGTGACTTAATATTGCTCTGAACAAGCTGAAAGAAGCAAAGCCTTCTGGGGGAAGCTTGCCAGTCCCAGTGCCTGCACATGATGGAGAGAGAGGGAATACTCGGGGTTCCAGCCCCTTGGTTGGTGGGCCTTTCTTCAGACAGCTCCCAGTGCAGATGTTCCAAAGTCCAGCAGCAGGGATCACTTCCTTAAGGGCCTTTCAACCTTTCAGGGAAGAGCTGCCTGGGATTCAGGGGAGTGACTCCTCCTGCCCTTTCTTTTAGGACCATTTCCAAGAACCTGGTAAAAAATGCCAAGAAAACAATTGGTCGCCAGTATGTGACCCGCAAGAAGTACACCCCACCTCCCTGGGAGCACCGGAGCAGTCAGCAGCCCTTCCCCGAGGACAATGAGGATGAGATCTCAGGTATGGTAGCTGTCCATCTGCCCATGAGGGCTGGGCAAGCGGCAGGTGGGAGCACTTTCTGGCCTCTCCCTTATGCTACTTTGACTTCTGCAGTGGCTGAAGAAGTGGACAGAAGCACCTTGACTCCCTCAGCCACAATCAGGTCCTCTGACAAGATGACTATGAGCCACCTGGTAGAGCGAGCCTGTTGCCGGGATTACCAGCGCCTGGGCCTTGGCACCCTGAGCAACAGTCTGACCCGCTCTAAGAATGAGCCTTTCCGGATCTCCACCGTCAACCGGATGTATGCCATCTGCAGGAGGTATGTCTGGTCATTGGGAGCGTCCTCCACGCTTGTAGGGAAGAACTGGCAGCTTGGCCTTTAGGGGAGGACAGGTGAGTCAGCAATCTGGGTTACATAAGAGCAGATCAGTTTTCCGTCTCTTGCCAGGCACTCTAAGGCAGTTGGCAAGTCATGTTGCTGAAGTCTGTGGCACTGCAGCTGCTCTAGGAAGCCACAGTTGATGTACCAATGATGCCTCTGGTTTGTGTAGAAATGCGCCAGTCTGGGGCTCTGGTAACATCTAGATTGTGTTGCTGCAATGTACAATGTGTGGGGCTGCCTCTGGAGAACATCTGGAATTCAAGCTGGTTGGGCTCTGGACTGAAGTTTCCTCCATTCTATAGCTAGGCTAGCATGCCTAATCTTCCATAGCTTTTGTATGCAATTCAAAACCTTCTTTTCCAGCTGGGTTGAGAACATGTCATGAACTGCTTCCTTCCAGAAGTAGCAACCAGTTTCACTTTGCCAATTTTGGCATAACTAAGGGGCCCACTGTGCTTTTCTCTTGTTTTTGTTCTTTCCTGGGTGATATCATGAACTGCAGCATTTTGCTTATGGCAGTGGTAATCCATCCTGTTTATTGGGGCTGCGTGTGGATTGATTGATTGATTGATTGATTGATTGATTATGTGCTCTCAAGTCAGTGTCAGCTCCTAGTGACCACATAGATAGATTTTCTCCATGATGATCTGTCCCTAACCTGGTCTTCATTACCACTAAATCCATCCACTTTATTTATTTATTTTTATTTATTTATTTATTTTTATTTA